CGCCTGAGCCCAAAACAAGCACGAGACGAGCAGATTCAAAACAGGCCCTGTGACGGTGTGCACTTCTTCGCCCTTCGCCCCGGTCAACGCCTCACGCAGCCAACATGACGCTTCACATGACATTCCAGGAAATATGCACTCGACAGGAGGTTGGTTTTGTGTGTGATAATGAGTCCATGGCGCCCCTGACCAAGCGAGAGTCCTTCAACGACCTGGTCATCAAGTTGGCGTCCAAGTGCGAGATGAACATTGTCTTCCTCGCGGGAGCAAGGAACAAAGTGTCACACTTCACCCTCGATGTCGTGCCCGAGGACCCCGTCCACGGCACGGCGGTGACAGTGACTAAGAGCAAAGGGCGCAGAGGCAGCGAGTATCCTAAAGGATACGAGGCTGTGGCAGCGGCCTGTCAGCAGGTGGTGGCCAATGGCTACCACGGCCTGCATGCCATTGCAAAGCTTGACAAGTCTAATATGCCAGACAATGCAAGCAGAAAGATGTATACGTTTGCCCAGTTTGTCAATTTCCTTGTTCATGGAATCGAAGCTTATTTCATGTTTGCGAAAGCTAACGAGCAGTTTGTGTTGAATGCCATGAATCTGTGGGAGACACTGGAGGACCTCATGATGGAGGGATGCTACATTGTGATGGCTTGGCAGTATGAGGAAGATCCCAGGAAAGGTAGGCAGGCATTTTCAAGTCTTCTATGTTGATTCATATCCTTTCACAATGATTTTATCTAAATAAAAAAATGAATACTTTTTTGTTAGAATTGTAAACTAGAGTAATTGCTACTCCATGAAAGATAATGGTATCTAGAAATTGAATTTAGGAACCTACTCCAATTAGTGTTACCAAGTGATGTACTGAGGTAGAGGGAAATGGACACTACCATCTTATAGAGCATAAGAAATTGAGTAATAAGCAATACAGGTAAAGCTGCAGCAACCTCATTTTCACGGTTAAATGATGAAAATATCCTGTGCAGGTACAAAAGATATGAATGAGAATGAATATCTCCACAATATAAAAAATGTATTTGACTGGTATTTCTGATGAAGATATAATTGAAAGATATTCATTCTCATTCATACCATTTCTATATTTGTCAACATGAATATGGTTCATCCTCTGCATATTACTTCTCAGAGATAAAGTCCACAACACCCTCACACAGCCAGTTCTTAACCCTACAGTAAAGGTACCAGAAATCTCTGGGTGTCACTCTTGGTGTGGGAGTACGCTATGTATAGAGGAACTTCCCAGTCAACTCTATTTAGTGATTCTTGATGAATTGTTTTTTCACTATGGCAATAGGCGTGCCCAGCTATAAGAGGTTAACCCATTGCCGCCGGGGATGGCATGTACGCACATGCCATGCCCACTGCGAGTCGACTTGTTCGATGGTTTTTACACATAGATGGCTACACTTGTACTAAGTATCCAATGAGCCAATTACGAGTACTGCCTGTCTCGCCCATTCACCCTTTTCATTGATTTATGAAAATATTTAACGTTATCCTAATTTGCTGTTAAAAATACCATCATCTATATTTATAGCACTAGTAAGAATACGTTTTTTCCCGTCAATTCAAGGACGGGTGAAATCAGGACTAAAAGAGCCATCTATGGATATTTCACAAAAATATAAAAAATGAGTACTGCATTCTCCACATTTTTTGTTCATTTTCCCCGGCGGCAATGGGTTAATGTCACCCTTTATGTAAGTTGGCATAATACCCTGGTTTAGGGACTTTGTCATTGGAGGGTGTGTCGCTCTCGGTAATAAATACTCTATCCTAATTGAATATACCAGAAAGCCTTCCCAGTGGCAGAAGATGGTAAGATGTCCACACCTTAACCCCTTGGTGCTGGGTGACGCCGATAGGCGTGTAAACAAACCGCTTGAAAGCTGGCGTGCAGCCAAACGAGCCGGTGGCGCGCCAAAGCGCGGCGAGCCAGTGATTGACGTCCCATACTCGCGCGCTCAAAGTCGACGCGCCGCCTTTGTTTGCTAGAGCGTAGATTTTTTTTTCCTTTTGTACACCCGGCATCATTGGATTGATAAACATTTCATGTACTGAATGAACTTGTAAGATTTTATCAATAGATAGGTACAGTAAGTCCCCTACTTATGAACATTCTACTTACGAACATTCCATACATACAAATTTTTTTAAATACTTAAGTACAAAAAAATGTTTGAAAGATGGTAGCAAACTTCAAATTTCCCGGGCATGGATATAGTTCACGAGTCTGCCACGCTCACTCAGCTGTGCGCATCACTCACCTCAGACGCCTGCCCTCCCGCCATAAACACGAAAGCATCTCTTCACTGTGTCCTTGTGTACCGCCAATTTTTGTGCCATAATTCGCTTTACCTGTGCGTCAATCCATCAGAAATACTTATTGGGATTTATATAAAGGTATTCTTAATGTAAACAAAACTTTCAAACAATGAGAAAAAAGGCAATGGAGACCTGACTTTGGATATACGAACAAATGGAGTTGCGAACAGCCTCTCAGTCCCCATTATGTTCGTAAGTTGGGGACTTTCCGTATCATTATTGAATAAAAGGATGCTTTGGTAAATATTTACAAGATGCCCACAACAGCTTTCAAACTGAGTATTTTGGTAATTTTTCAGAATTCCTCTGCATAACTGATTTCGGCGATTTTGGTATTGAGGGATTCATCTTGTCTTCTATCCAAATATATTGAAATTATGCCGTGGACCCCCCCCCACCCATGAGCAACAATCTTAGCCGAGATAGCTGGTGAGGACATGAAAGGTACCAGGGAAATTGTGGGGTAAAATGTGAATAATATACACAAAATCAGTCACTATATTCTGAGTCTGTCCAGTGCTCTCTCCGATTGTGAATACATGGAAGATTCTGTGGGGGTAGGGGTATGGCAGCCCCCTGCATTAGATGATACGGTGACTGACTCGGTGTATATTATTCATATTTTACCCCACAATTTCCCTGTTTCCTATCATATCTTGCCTATCTTGCTAACAGGGCAAGAATGTTGGGATTTGGGGGGGGTGGGGGGCGGAGGTTCCACAGCATAATTCCTTCTTATTTGTGTACTAGAGGATGAGAGGAATCCATCAATACCAAAATTGTCACAATCAGTTTTGTGAAGGTGTGAAAAATTACCTTTTTATTCATTAAATTAGCTATGTTGTGACTAAATCCATTTGATACTGAATTAGACCATCATGTAAATTCTGTCCTGAGAGAGCTTGAACTGGTTTCTTTATTGACGACAAGGGATGTGCTCTATCTATATTACAAGTGGAGGAGTTCTGTTTGTCTTTTATCTAACAAAGAAGTTGTGAAAGCTTGTGATGGATGAATGGATTTAGCATAACAGACACAAATGTATTGTACACATTTAACCCAATGGCACCGGGTGTACAAAACAAAAAAAAAACTCTACGCTTAAACAAACAAAGGCGGCGGTGAGTAGGGGACATCAGCCCGAATCACTGGCTCGCCGCGCTTTGGTGCGCTGCCGGCTCGTTCGGCTGCACGCCATCTTTCGAGCGCTTTGTTTACACGCCGATCGGCGTCACCCGGCACCAAGGGGTTAACAATGTTTTGTTCAAAACTTTTTTTTTATTTAGTGTTCATCTTTAGGCTATGGAAATTAATGTATTCTAACATAATTATACACACTTTCAGAGAATGTCCCAATGACACTGTTGTCATCACTCATCAACAAGATAAAAGAGCCAGAGCCGTTGCCAGTTGCTGAGCCAGTTCAGCCAGTAGTCGTAAAGGAGATCAAGAAACAATTCACCACCACGACTGTAAAGAGCACCAGGTGAATGAGAAATAGTACAGTAAATATGATTAGCATACATAGTCATGTTCATGGTCGATTTGTACTTGACTTTCAGATTCGTTAATAATAATTTGGTATCCATAAAACTCCATACTACCTTTATTCAGGAAAGGTTTCAGGAGGCTGTAGTACCCAATAGTTTTCCCCCGTAGTTCTTGTTGATATCTTATTACAGATTGGAGAAACTAGAGTAATTAACATAGGCCAATAATTAACAGTGACCCTCATCCTTATATGTATTCTTGAAGAACATTTATTTCGTTCATAAATGTATATGTAAGCCTAAGTATTTAAATACACATTTATGTAGGTTGATTTGATATATACATATTTATACATGCCTATCTAAGTATCTATCTATTTATCTATCTGTCTATTGAGATATACATTTTTTACTATCTACTTTTGAGCAAATTTGTTACCAACAGCTTGCAGTGAAATTTACATGTCTATGAATATGGCCGATATTTAGACATGGGCATGGGTGGGTGGGTGGGTGTATATGTGTACATACATGCATAAATTTCTTTTTTGTATGTATGTGTACATTTATAATTATTGATATATGTCTATGTATTTCTTTAACTTTTTTTGGTAAATGTTTATAATATACCCTACATTGCCATGGCCTGATCCTTCTTGCAAAAGCTGAGAAATGTCTACCTTGTTTATTTTGGCCTTTGACTATTTTTTTCATTTGGTGATAGATTGCCAGGGATACCTACAAGCTATGTCTAGCCAGAATATTCATGGTAAAAGTTATTAGCTTTTGCTGGCTTTTTGAATGGGACTGTGTGAAGCTAGAGAAAAACTGAAGAATTATTATAAAAAGTACCTTAAACACCTATTAGACGCTGGTGGAAGGCCACAATCTGTGCTTCTATTGTTGTATCCAGTAATGCTGTGGTCTCTGCACTTCATACTATGGCAAAGTAAACCTGTATATTTTGGCAAGATAGAACTTGTTTACCTCCTTTGTCAACTCCCCTTATCCCCAGATATGGAACCAGCGCTAGCTCAGTCTTGCTGAATGTATGTTGAGGAGTTTTATTGATCTTTGAAACACAAGACAGTGATCATGTTGTTCCATGCTGTCCTGTTCTGAACAATTACTAGCCAAGTTTAAAGTGGTAAAACAGAGGTCCTATATGAGAAAAAAAGCATTTACCAATGAGATCATCAAAGTAATATTTGATTTAATGCCAGTAATCAGTTGATGCACCATATGAAGTATAATTGAAGTGACTCTATTATATATATAATTCAATCACCAAACACTGAACTCTTTAACCCAGCTAAAAAAACACTGCCAAAGACCCACTAGCCCAAACTTTGTTGTCAATGTTTTCTGTGAAACTGAGATCCAGTGTAGTGAGGGAATTTAGTTAAAAAATTGATATTTCACTATGGATATTTTGTTTTTGACTCCTCACAGAAGATTTATCTTATTAGGGCTGATGCAGTCAGCCGCATGAGTGCTCGAACTCTCCTTGGTGAGGGAGGCCTGGTTTGTCAACATCAACCAGAAGTAATGTAAATCTTGGATTAGATATGTGATATTGTTTGCTGATGCTTTTAATTGTGAAAAAAATAATTTTGCAGAACTAACATAACAGAACTGTGGCTTTTAGGTTTTATGAAATGATTATCAAATATTGCATTCAATGAGTGTCGTGGGATTGTTATGTTTCATTGTGTGTTTTACAGTTTTTGAATTTGTTGTATACATATTAACGGTTTAAGAAATGAATGGGATGTATTACAAGTTTACTTTGTCAATATAAATTACCTTCTTTGAGCTTAGTGTTTGAAGGCTAATGCCCAGCATTAGTGAAAATTTTGCCATGACCTAATACGGCATCACTTGGTTTGAGTGAATTAGATATAACTGTTATAATTCTGTTATTAGCATATTATTTACCTAAAAATATTAGGGTTTATATATGTTACTGAGCTTATTTCTTAGATATTATAGTTATGATTGGTAAACTTTGTAATCAGTTTTACTTTTTGATAGGTGATGATAGAAACTAATAATGATAAAAACTTTACAGCACCACTACAAAGAGAGGGAAACGAGGGAGGCGGAGCATTGCATCTCGCGTTCAGGAGGCCAGTGAAGCAAGCACTGATGAAGAAGACACAGAAATATCTTTTAAGATTAAGCCAGATATTAGAAAAACACCAGAAATCCAATATCACCCTGTGAGTATTCTTATAATAATTATCTGATCCTTTTTTCTTTCTCCGTCCTTGAATTAACCAATTGGGTCTAGGTGCCAAAATTCAGGAACTATATTTACTTGACTGCTGAATCTACTGGGTGTGTGGCTTGTAAGCCCAGCCCATATGTGTAGTCATGTGTGATATCAAGGCTCCTTGCCTCCTCTTTGCAATGCTGTTAGGTCTTTTCTGCAGTATGTATTGCAAAGTAATGTACTCTGATTGACTGGCTGGAGTGTATCACTTTGTATCAAGGTAGGGACATACAGAATGAGAAGTTGTTTCAACAGATTCTAGTAATGTTCATGTAAAGGGATAGCATGTGTTAGGTGTTTGAAGATGCTATAAAAAAGGCCTTTACTACTGTTTGTAATATCTAGCTGGCTGGTGATCTATGGATTACATTTGACAGCAGGGCCATTACTTTTCACTCTCCTTTGTTTTGTTGTGTCATAATGATTTGTACATGTGATGTGCATGTGATACATATTTTACCCTGCGTATATAATCCCTGCTGGGGGAACTATTTCAGACCAGTTTCAAGTGACCTAAAATTCTTTCCACCCGCCTTACCTTTGAGACAAATGGAAACAAATATTAATTGTTTGAGAATATTTAAAAACAGTCTTAACAGAATCTAAGAAGATTTTGCTGTCTCAGACAATTTTGATTGCCAGAGAACTTTTGTTGACTCAGCTCCTGAAGGTGGCTCAAATAGTACCAGATGATAATCCACTCTGATATTAGCTTTTTTTTATTTTTTTTTTAGTTACTGTCCTTTCCACATGGTGCAATATACATCAAGCCTTCTTTGTGTTTAGATTACTGTTATTGAAGCCATGAAGATATATTGTCAGACATCTTTGGACAGTGTGAAAATGCTTTAAATTTTGGTTTGAATAGTCCTTAAAAATGAATATTAAATACCAGTTTAGTATTTTTTTCTCTGTATCTATGTATTACATTGTGGAACTATTCATACACAAGTTTGTGTGTATATATTAAGACTTATTATACAATTCTTTTCTTACTGAATTGAAAAATGAAAGTAAGCAATAGTTGCAACATCAGCTCTAACATCATTTTTAAAAGTACAGCAAATTAACCTAATTTTATCAGTTACTTTGTCAAGTGATAAGATTTTGATTTTGATTTTGATCAAATAAATGAAGATCATTAGTGCAAACTAACCTTGGTATAGATTTATGCATACCATTGTTAATAAGAAATTCATGCACTTTATTAGTTTGTCAGAATTTTTTCAGGTATATTCTCCAACTGCCTTGTTTATAAAAAGTTGATTCCCTTTGTACCCAAGTATAAAGTATTAGTATTTTATCTAAAGTGTTTAATTTTGTATCATAAAATATTAGGCTATATAATTTTATCCTAGAGGTACAAGTATTTCTTTTCTTTGCCAGTACTTTCATTGAAAAGTAAAATAAATACTATCATGATCTATAGTTTCTGAACCCCCCACTCACCTACCCCTCCCACCTTTCTGCACAACGGGCTACATGAGGTAGGAGAGTTGGCTGGCTCTGTGAGGAAGCGTATTGATGTGAGATCTCCCCATTGGCTCTTAGCACATCTTATTGTACAACTTTGCTAACTTGTTGTCACTTTGTGTATAGGACTTTATTACTTAACTTAAGTGATATTAAGGTGATAACATGAAACCATTCTTTAACAAACCAGCTGATATACATTTTAGACTTATAGTCTTGAAACAAGCTGTCGATCAGTTCTCTCATTTGCATCTTCAGCCATCCCAAACTACCAACATTTCAGGCAGCCCGGAATATACCTGGATGACCCCAAGACACAGAGGAGCGGAATAATTTCCTTTTCTTAAAGATATGAACTACTGTATAATTATATTTCGTCATTATATTTAGTCATATGTAAGGTTTGGTTTATGTAAATAACACATTCTTGTTATTGTAAATGCTCAAAAGTTAGTGATAGTGACATGAATAAGATTTCCTTTCTTGCCATTGCTTATCATTTGCATGTTCCCTCTCTCCAAGAAAAATTTCTGGGTACAACCCTGGTCAAGACAGTATAAAGACAGCTCAATCTTCAGTGAAAGGCTGATGAATTGGCACCCAATTGCAAACCTGACAATATTTCCAAGTTTGAAAGTTTTTATGTAGCCTGCATATTCAGTTTTCATAGTTAATATCATAAAGTTAGTTAGGTATTTCCCTGTACCAATCTGTTGATTTAGAAAACAATGTAATTACTATGACAGCAAGCGTCTTGGCTCAAAGTGTTGTTCATGCCCTCTTCTCCCTTTATAGGTATACCTAGGATCAATTTCACATTGAATTTTATGATAATAGCAATGTCCAGTTGAGTAACTTGGAGAAAGTTATAGTCTAGTGCTCATGATAATGTGGTTTATTCATTGGGATGAATATGCTGTCTTCTCTTTCACAATATCCTCAAGTGTGAGTCTGTTGTGAGTACTGCTCAAAATAAGCTAATTGGAGTGAAAGATTGTGTATTGGAATAATTTATGTCACACCCAAGTTTTATATCGGTTTCTTTAATTATATACAGCCACTATACTTTAGATGAACCTCACACAACCTTAATGACATTCAGCACGCTGAAGGCCTGAATTCATAAGATTTGTGCAAATATTTGGGCAGCATTGAATTGACTCCCACACTTCTCAACTAGTCATTGTTGTAGTTATACACTTCAGTGCGATATTGATCTCTGGTTTAATAATTTTAAGTTATCCCTTAGAGCATTACTTGTCAGTCTAAAGCTATATACACAGTGTAATATGATAGGAAATTCAAATTACTTTTGTGAGCAAGTGGGTGAAACTTTCACCTCTATGCCCTCCCTCACAGACCCTTCCTTCCCACTTCCTGTCCTACCGCATGTAACCATTTGTGCAGAAGGGATAGGAGAGGGTGGGCTTCAGAAACTTTAGTTTGTGACAGTACATGCAGCTAGAAATTCCCATTAGGAGTATCTTAAGATTAGTTGTCTCACTGCAATGTTGATGAGAATTGTTATTTTTTCTAGGGTTTGTGTTGAGTTACATTACTGTGCATCATAATTTTAACATGTTTCATATCCACAGGACATCACTGTTAACAGTGCAGGGTCTGTTTTGGAAAAAACCTCACCCAGACCAGTACAAAACCCATCACCAAAGAGGCCAGTTTCTGAAAGGCAAAATGTATCTCCTAAAAAGTCAAAGTCAATGGAGGTTGAAGAACCTGCAGCACCCACAAGTAAAGAAGACACTATGCTAGAGGACTTCACCTTTGGTTTTGACAAGTGAGTGAAAAGATGTTCTCTTATTTTTTGACTGCTGTGCTTCTGTTCAAGAACTCCAGGTATTTAATATTGTAATAGAGATATGTTTCTTATTCCATAGAGGAGCATGCATCATTCAGTGAATGAGTGAAATCTAATAGATTGTTATCTGCTTGCTAATGTAAGCCTGTTCATCTTCAGATAGATTTATTGAATCAATGAAGTTAGCATTTTGAATAGGAATTGTGTTGTTAACCCATCATCACCGGGTGAACAGAAATCCCTGAGCAACATCAAGGTGAATGACCTGCTCCACACGCTCTAGTGCGTTGCCGCACATACAGGTGTATCCTGTAGACCAAATGGTTTGTTATGACGCTGGTACATGTGACCTGTCCGGGTCGGGTTAAAGGGGAGTTCAGATACTTTTTTTTTTTTTTTTTTTTTTTTTTACTTGGTCCATTGCCTTTTGAGATAAAGGGGAAAAAATGCAAATAACATTTTTGTGAGTATAAGAAAACTAATTTTTCTAACACGTTTTCACTACTGTGAAAAGGCTAAGAAATATTTAGATTTGGCACAGACATAACTGTAACCACTTCATTCACAAATAAAATGAGACCTGTCTCACCAGTATTGGTTGACTGTTGCTTCAAAGAGTAGTTGGTGAACTGAGATATTATATTTGAAGGTTTATGAGCTCCACATGTTTCTCCCCTCATCTCAATTTCTTTTGCATAGCAACTTCTGCTTTTTACCCTTTCATTCTTGTTTAGACTGTATTATTATAGATTGGCTAGTGGGCAGTATTGAAGCTTGTGAATAGGTTTTTGGGGGGTGGGTAGTATCCCATTTTTGCCCAATTCTTTTGGTGTAACTCGTCTTTAGCACCTAATTATTTCAAGCTAGAGTTTATATGTAAATAAAATGAAATCATGCCATTTAACAGGTAGAAAGAAAGGGATAATCTCTTTTTCAGTTATTTGCAAATTAGAGAATGATTGTAAAATTATTGTCTATAGCAGGATGCATTTGTGGGAACTTTAGAGTCACAATTTTTAGATAAGTTTGTCAAATCAATTTTGTAATAGATGAGAAATTTGCTTAGGGTTTAGATTTTTAAGAACCATATTTGTAGATTTTTATCCATATTTTTCATATTGTAAACTGTTAACATTTTAAAACAATAGTTTTAGACATGTAAAAAAAAAAGAAAAAAAGACATGTAACTGAAGCTTAACCCCTTCGTGCCGGGTGACGCCGATCGGTGTGTAAACAAAGAGCTCGAAAGCTGGCGTGCAGCCAAACGAGCCAGCGGCGCACCAAAGCGCGGCGAGCCAGTGATTCGGGCTGATGTCCCCTACTCACGCGCCGCCTTTGTTTGTTTAAGCGTAGAGTTTTTTTTTTCTTTTGTACACCCGGCGCCATTGGGTTAAATACAGTTGGGTCCACATACCCTATAGCACCAAGGAGTCAATTAGCCCAATTCTGATGGGCATGACGTTTACGTATATGCTATGCCCACTGTGAGTCACTAGTTTGATTGTGTTTACACATAGATAGCTACATTTGTACTGAGTCACCAATGAACCAATTACGAGTACTGCCTGTCTCGCCCGTTTACCCTTTTCTTTGATTTATGAAAACATTTTACGCTATCTTATTTTGCTGTTACTAATGTTTATAACATTATGATAATTATAATGTTTATAATAAAAATAACACCATCGATATTCATAGTACTAGTAAAAAATACATTTTTCCTGCCAATTCAAATCAGGTAAGGGCACAAGGTCTACTAATTGACTCCTTTGTGGCTAAGCACTAGCAGAGACATTTTACAAAAAATATAGAAAATGAGTACAGCATTTTCCCCATTTTTTATTCATTTTCCCTGGCGGCACTGGGTTAGGAACTTTAGAGTCACAATTTTTAGATAAGTTGTCAAATCAATTTTGTAATAGATGAGAAATTTGCTTAGGGTTTAGATTTTTAAGAACCATATTTGTAGATTTTTATCCATATTTTTCATATTGTAAACTGTTAACATTTTAAAACAATAGTTTTAGACATGTAAAAAAAAAGAAAAAAAGACATGTAACTGAAGCTTAACCCCTTCGTGCCGGGTGACGCCGATCGGTGTGTAAACAAAGAGCTCGAAAGCTGGCGTGCAGCCAAACGAGCCAGCGGCGCGCCAAAGCGCGGCGAGCCAGTGATTCGGGCTGATGTCCCCTACTCACGCGCCGCCTTTGTTTGTTTAAGCGTAGAGTTTTTTTTTTCTTTTGTACACCCGGCGCCATTGGGTTAAATACAGTTGGGTCCACATACCCTATAGCACCAAGGAGTCAATTAGCCCAATTCTGATGGGCATGACGTTTACGTATATGCTATGCCCACTGTGAGTCACTAGTTTGATTGTGTTTACACATAGATAGCTACATTTGTACTGAGTCACCAATGAACCAATTACGAGTACTGCCTGTCTCGCCCGTTTACCCTTTTCTTTGATTTATGAAAACATTTTACGCTATCTTATTTTGCTGTTACTAATGTTTATAACATTATGATAATTATAATGTTTATAATAAAAATAACACCATCGATATTCATAGTACTAGTAAAAAATACATTTTTCCTGCCAATTCAAATCAGGTAAGGGCACAAGGTCTACTAATTGACTCCTTTGTGGCTAAGCACTAGCAGAGACATTTTACAAAAAATATAGAAAATGAGCACAGTATTTTCCCCATTCTTTATTCATTTTCCCCGGCGGCACTGGGTTAGTAGGTCTGCCTATCCTCACCTGGTATCCCCATTTTGTGAATTTCCTTTTTGTTTAATGCTATTAACCTTTTGGGTATGGGTGCTTCGCTGCCTGCATGATCAAAAATCTGGGCATTAGGCTTGCTTGAGTGGCTAGTCAAAAGTGTATGCTCGTAGGCCGGGTACGTATGAATGTTCATGTGTGGTGTCAAGACTCCTTGCCTCCACTTTGGAATATTACTATTTCTTTCTGCATAAGCCTCTTTTTCTTCTTCCTCTTTCTTTCTTTCTTTCTTTTCTATTTTACAATGTATATTTGTCATTTGATATACTTTATCAAGATGGTAATTGACTGTTTTCCATGTACAGACTCCATATTATAGGTAGTCCATAACCCAGTACAATAATGATAACAATTGGTAAAAATATGTTATTTGTGTAATTATTATTATTATTTTTTAGTATTCAATTTTCTGTAATAAAATCTGTGCCACCAGCATGGAAATAACATCCTTCAAAGACAAAATAACATTGCAAAAGGGAGGCATGGAGTCTTGCAACTGCACAGAAGTGTTTGTTTGTGCCTGGCCTACAAGCAAATGTAATGCCTGTATTACGTAAACCTAGTGCTTGTATTTTGGGTAACATGATGGCATGTGAATCATCTGGATTCAGTGAGTTAACCCTTACAGTGATATGAACTCTGTCCTTAGGAAAATGGCCACAGAATATGTGTAAATAATAAAAATTAATCTACCTATCAATCTAATCTGTGTGTGTGTGTGTGTGTGTGTGTGTGTGTGTGTGTGTGTGTGTGTGTGTGTGTGTGTGTGTGTGTGTGTGTGTGTGTGTGTGTGTGTGTGTGTCTGTGTCTGTGTCTGTGTCTGTGCCTCGCGCTCTCTCTCTCTGTGCCTCTCTCTCTCTCTCTCTCTCTCTCTCTGTGCCTCTCTCTCTCATATTCAATCTTTGTCTCACTTTATGTGAAGCCATGCAGGAAGCATGCTGTTTGTTGAGGTTTTTCTGCATCACACCCCTTTCCTTCCCTGCTATTTCTTATGCGCCCCGATACACATACGTTACAACAATACCCTTCTTTGGATCCTTCCCCTCCTGACATTTCTCCTTATCCATTGCCGCCGGGGAAAATGAATAAAAAATGGGGAAAATGCTGTGCTCATTTTTTATATTTTGGTGAAATGTCTCTGTACCTAGATGGCTCTGCTAGTGCTTAGCCACAAAGGAGTCAATCGGTAGATCTTGAGACATTAACTGATTTCACCTTTCCTTGAATTGGCGGGGAAAACATATTTTTGACTAGAGCTACAAATATTGATGGTGTTATTTTTATTATAAACATTATGAACACTATGTTATAAACATTAGTAACAGCAAAATAAGGTAACAAAAAATATTTTCGTAAATCAATGAAAAGGGTGAATGGTTGAGACAGGCTGTACTCATAACTGGCTTACTGGTGACTTAGTACAAGTGTAACCATCTATGTATAAAAACAATTAAACAAGTAAATTCACAGTGGGCATGGCATGTATGTACATGACATGCCCGTCGGCAATGGGTTAAACTACTCTTTAACCCATTTGCCCCATGTGGCAAAAATACATGCCATGCCCACTGTAATACACGTTTATTTATTGTATTTACACATAGATGGCTCTACAAGTTCTTAAGCCATTCGCGCCGGGTAAAAATGAACAAAAAATGGGGAAAATGTTGCGCTCATTTTTTATATTTTTTAATGAAATGTCTCTACACTAGATGGCTCTGCCTTACCTGATTTCATTTGGCGGGAAAGTGTATTTTTACTAGTGCTATGAATATCGATGGTTATTTTTATTATAAACATTATAATTACTATAATGTTATAAACATTAGTAACAGCAAAATAAGATAACGTAAGATATTTTCGTAAATTAAAGAAAAGGGTAAACAGACGACACAGGCAGTACAAGTACAAGTGTAGCCATCTATGTGTGAAAACAATTAAACAAGTAAACTCACAGTAGGCCCGTCACGTATACGTGACACCCGGCGTGAATAGGTTAATCACCAAATAGCCAGTTATCAGAACTACCTATCTCACCTGTTTACCCTTTTCCTTTACTTTAGGAAAGGGTCTTTTGTATCATTTCATTGTTAAAAATATTTTAATGACAATTTAATAATCATAACATCAATAACAATAATAACAGTATCGATAGCAACGGTATCAAGAAGAAAAACACATTTTCCTGCCAATTCAAGTAATGGGGAAATCAGGATCAGTAACTATGACCTACTGATAGACTCCTTGCCAGCTGAGCACATGTGGAGCCATCTGCATCTAACAAAATTCACAAAAAACTACAGGGGACGGAACATAAATTTAGGGCAAATGGGTTAACCTAATTGCCCTTAACCCAATGCCGTTGGGGAAAATGAACAAAAAATTGGGAAAATACTGTGCCTATTTTCTATGATTTTCGCAAAATGTCTGCCCATAGATGGCTCTGCTAGTGTCTGATTTGAAATGGTGGGAAAAACGTATTTTTCACTAGTGCTATGAAGGTCAATGGTGTTATTTTTATCATAAACATTATAATTATTATAATGTTTTTGTTAACATTAGTAACAGCAAAATAATATTACGCAAAATAATTTGTAAATCACAGAAAAGCATAAACGGGCGAGACGGGCAGTACTCGTAACTGGCTAATTGGTGATTTAGTACAAGTGTTGCCATCTATGTGTAAAAACAATCAAACATGTACTCACGGTGGGCATAGCACGTACGTACATGTCATACCCGTTGGCATTGGGTTAACCCCTCTCTCCCCTTTAGCTAACCCCAACCTTATCCCATGGACATCTTTGCAGAATCCC